TGTATATATAGTATAGTAGTAAAGCTTACAATTTCTATTATATCCAATTACGTAATAGAATTACCCTATTAAAAATAAAAAGAATTATTAGAATAAATAATAATAATAAATCAACTAGATATTATATAGTATAAAGACTTTTTATTAATTTTTTTCAATTATGAAAATTCTATAATTTATAATTATATACAGGTTAATATTAGTTCAAAGTAGGTTTATAGGACCTACTTATATACCTCTAGTAGCCCTCTAGGACTTGATCGTAGTAATTTAAAGCTTCTTTAGATTATAAATAGACTTTAGATAGGATTTTGAATTAAAATCGTATAAAAAATTAAAGATTCTAAATAAATTATAAACAAAATGTGAATTTTATAATACTTCTACTATCTAGAGTTCATTATGTGAATTTTTAATTAGCGATGTAATTCGATTTATCTAAAAGCCTAAAGTGAGAACACATTTAGGTACGTTTTATATTACTTACCCTTCAACCTCCGTAAATCAATATTTACCATATGCTCATGACCTACAAAAAGAATCAATCAAAAACCGGGATATACCGAAACGGAGTATCCTAACTACATTCAACAATTAATACAGCTAGGTTATTTGTCCACTCCTGAGCTGAGCGCGATGCATTACAGTATACCTTGCAGATACGACAAATGAATCGAAGAACACGTAACGAATTAAGTAAGCGAATATGAATGACGAGCTAGGGTCTTTTGAAAGTGTTGTCACTTCGAAGAAATGAAATGCGATTCGGTACCAAACTGTCGGTACTGTACAGCAAAGAACTGAGACCTTTGCCTGGCCCCTGTGTGGATGTGTGGATGTGTGGATGTGTGGATGTATGAACAGGGCACGGAGGCTGGGCGCTATGTAAGATTGTGGAAACCCTAAATCCCTCACACTATTTACTAAATGGCTCGGCACGCTAACATTTGCAAACAATTTGTGATGACCCTTCTCACGGAGTATGGGTCAGAACTGAGGCGCAAAATCTCTTTGATGTGATGGAATAAATACTATGATTCTAAAATAAAGGAAAGAGAAAAAGAAAAAGTGGGTGAAAAGATTTCCAGTTACACATGTGGTAAACTCCTTTAACTAGCTTCGCTAGGCCTCAACCCTACAGTCAAGTGCCATTGCGTGGTATCTCATCACGTGCTGCCTATCAGGTGTCGCTTCGTTATATAAATCACTAAACTACAGTTTAGTAGATCATTCACAGTTTAATATGTATAATATTAGCATAAAAATTGATCGAATATCCCAACAATCCGCTTTGCAGTTTACTTATTGAGATTTTGAATCATCGGCCGTGTAAGTAAAATGATCCACTAGCTCAATCATTCACACCGCGGGGCCCTGATGCGCAGCCTAGGTATTTTCCAAGACTGTGATCTCTTCATGCACGCCGTTGAAGATGGATATAGTCTTATACGTAAACTACATACCACGGAAAACACCTTATTGCCGATATGAGCGATATGAGCGGCACGGCTCGTTCCGTTCGCTCTCCCCTTCTTGGTAGGGTATACACACTCCTCTCGATCCTATAGGGCAAGAGGATAGTAAAATCAATAATTTTCTCCTTTAATAGTGATTACTCGTCTCTCCAACGCTACTTCCCGTGATACTACATGAAAAGAGCAGCCAGCATGCTAGGATATACTGCAAGATTGCAGCTTTTTCAAGGCCGGTCAGTTACTCCATACCATATGATGCAGCCGAGGCCCGTCTCGCTCGCAGTTTGCGGAAAGAAGTTCCTCCACTTTTAGCGCTATCGCAGGCAATATGTGTTTTTTAAGGGTAGGATTCAATATAATTGCCGGAATGGATCCATATTATCCTTGGTGAGATGTAGCGGTTTTGATCAAGTGCTCTCATTAGCCTGCTAACCAGTTCCCTTTCCGACAAAAGCACAGTCAGACAGTCTCGATCCTCTCTAGTGGGAAGCGACTCTTTCCATGCTAGCAAAGGTGCCTGTCATCCTCCCAAGATGGATATAAATAAACCGCTTCGACCACCTAATTCTCTTCAGAAAAACCGCAAGCAACTCAATCAGAATACAATCACAATACAATTGTAACCTATCACCAACCAGCCAGTCGCCAACAAACTCCCAAACAACAAAATGCGTTTCAACCTAGCCAGCCTCCTCCTCACCGCAGCTTTGGTGTGGACTGCCTCTGCAACTCACGTCTCTTGTGAAGCCGGGCTGACTGACACCAACATTTGCGAAAGTAGCTACTGCAAATGCAATGGCAATGTTCTTATCTGCCAGTCTGGAACTACATGCGCGCAAACTTGTGTATGCGCTGCGTAGTCGTAGTACGTATTCCTAGAAAGCATTGCGGTCGGTGGACGCAGTACATTCTATCTCCTGATGCTAATTTCCGTGGTTCATGTATTAGGGTTGGGTAGGACGTTATGCTTTGTTTGGTTGGGTGGTGTAGAGCTGGGGAACGGATGGATTGTGACGAAGCAGAAAGGGCGATTCGATAAGGGAGGAGCTGTGACGGAGAGGTGATGTTGCATGAAGTGTGGAAGCAATGGATGGTGACGGAGAAATCTTCGTGTTTCAGTCTGTTTAATTTGTTTCACCTCAAATTTTTCAACACAAGAATTTAGATTTTTATGAGTCTCAGCACGCCCGTAAGAAACTCTACCTGGTGAAAGTGTTTTCAAAAGCTTGTATATAGAATCAGGATTAACTCGATGGATATAGAATCAGGATTAACTCGATGGATATAGAAAAGTTTGATGAGATCAGAGTTGAACTATTACACGTCAGTAGAATATTCGTACAAAATGTAGAGATCAAATATATTGGATGAGTTTTCAGAATTGCGTTTACCAAAATAGCCTTAACTAATAACTATAGAGTTTATCAAATCAGAAGACACTAACAAAATGATTAATGAAAGTTTTGTTTGATAGGGAGAGGCATTTTAATACGAAAGATATAATACTATAAACAATATCGATTGAAGCAATTTTATAATTATTAAAGATATAATCACATGGAAACCCTGTATAATACGAATATAGTATGTAGCTATTGTAGAAAATATACAATTCAAAAGATTATTCTAATAAATCGGATGAATCTATTATAAGGATCTGTGTAGTATGTAGAGGAGTATATGAAATATGGAATAATTCTTGTTTAATTTGTAAAGAAATGTTAAGCAAAGTAAAAGCAATATATAATACTAGATAATTATATTACTTTATTTTATATCAACAAAATCAGCAATGATAGCCAATGAAACTCAAAAGGGTAGATCAGATAATATATCAAAAAGATTGACCCCCTCTTTATTATTATTTATATCAAGAAAACAAAATTCTTCAAGTAAATATCCTACTAAGGGCAAAACTACTGAAAGAAGCTATACAGGGAATACAGTAGAAAGTATATAGAATGAAAATGAGAGTATGATTATGAAGGGTATTAGAATTAACAAGAACGAACTCAATACTTAGCCCCCAATGGAACATTGAGGAATCTAAATCACAAAAACGGTTCACCCATCCTATAGTACAATACTATGAAGTCAAACTATTATTGTTGTTATTATTATTATTATTATCGTGATTTTCGTCTCGTAGGAACCTCCCTAAGGGTATAAGAGACGTCTCAGGCTAGTTACAGAGGTGTAATCAAGACGGGTAGTAAACCGAGTTGGGTGTGATATTGTTTCCATAACCTATTTTCCAGCTGCAGGTGTACTGAAGATTCCAACAAGTGTGGAGAATTGGATGAATGTAACCACTACTAACTTGGTGGTTGTCGAGGTTGTCTTGGGTGTTTCTACGTAAGCGAAAAAACAGGCGGAAATTGACCTTTTTGAGCCTATTTGAAAATCACTTGTTTATTGAATTATTAATTCAATTCAAAATAAATACTGAGTTTTGAAAAGATCAAGTGAAAATTTGAGTCTTTTTTATATTGGTAAAAGGTACTTAAATCATTTAATATTATATTGAAAAGAGATTTGAGTTCTTGAAGCTCTTTCAAATGGTGGTCAATTCCCGCCTGTTATTTCGCTGATATAGAGGGTATGTCGTTAAAGCTTCTGCAACGGGTCTGTGTGCACAAAGATCAGATGTTCTTACCTGGCACCGGCCCCACTGCCATGATCCGACTGGTAGGTACATAAGAAAACTTATCACACGAACTCCGTGTTTGTACTAGTATACGGTAATATAACGGCGATACATATTAAGCTTTTAATATGATACGCATCACTATATAGACGAAATACAAGCAAGACTACTAAGAACACTACGCGAACTTAATCTTCTTATTTACACCTATTGCAGCTGAAATGGTCAGGGCCACCCTTGCGAATTACCGGGGTCCCCGAATCCTTGAGAGAAGTGAAAGCGGGAACCCCACCACATCAAATAGCTCTAGGTCTAGCTGCACCTGTAAGGCTAAGGCGTAAGCTGTATCATCGACGTCTAAATGGTCGATAGCGAGTGACAAGGGAAGAGATAAAATTCCATCTTCCTAATAATGAAAGATTCGTAGAATAAGTAGGCTGCGCAAACGGGCCCGTCAGCGAAGCGGATAACTGGGAAATCTGAATGGGTAATTCACGGGTGATTTGTAACATCTAAAATCCAATTGACCTATGGATTAGAGCCAATGATAGTCCACTAATTTGCAGATACCCACCAACCTACATATAACCCGCCGAGCGGGTGTTCTGAAAGTCTAGTAGGTATCCCAGGGGTAGTTAATAGCTCCAACGGGTAACCGGCAAGGTGGATTGTCTGCGATTTCCCACGGATTGCGGGTTATTTTTGCGCAGCCTAAACTGTCTTAATCTTAGTCTTAATAAGCCTTTTAAGCGTTAAGCAATATGTATAATGACTTAGTGAGGCTTTTCCAATAGCCGTTGTGACAATACATACCGACTATCGCCAATATTACCTACCATACTGCCATCATTGCAGAACTCCAGTAGTAGTGCCATATCATGGTTCGCTACGCGTCTCGTGTCTGGAGGCAGCGGCTCTTCAAAGCTACCATATGCACATGTCTAATCCTACTTCTAGCGCACAAATTCCAGCTCCGTGAATTCTTGCTTGCACGACGGTATGACACCTGGCCCTGGGATCACAGCTGCTACAAGCTCTCTCCCTTCAGCAGCGCATGCGCTGCGTCACGTGCAAAAATTGCGCACAATGTGCAAATCGTTATAGAGACAGGCGGTTCCGAGCCGAAGGAGAGACTGCAGTATCAGCTTGCGACAATACTGTCTGATGTTCCGGCTGAGAACATTTTGATATTCTCGGATTTGGAGGAGGAGACCGGGGCTTTTCGGATATATGATGCGCTAGCGGATGTTTCGGTGCGGGAACGTAGAGAATATCCAGAATTTGCATTTTATGATGAGTTGCAAATGTATCGGCGAGAAGGGAGAAATACACACGAACTAAAGGGAGGGCACAAGTTGGCGAGGTATAAGAATATGGCTATTAAGCGTATGATTTGGAAGATGTTGGGGGCCGAGAGCAGTGTCCTCGGGAGGCGGAAGTGGTATGTTTTTATTGATACGGATACTTTTATCGAATGGAATAACCTGCTTGTGTTGCTGGAGCATTTAAACCCCACAAACAATATGCATATAGGGAGTCCAGTTTGGGGCCCTATACCCCCGTTTGCGCATGGTGGGAGCGGTTATGTATTCTCGCATAAGGCCTTGGAGACACTGAATATGCCTAGCCGGGGTGGCGACGAAGAGTTAATGTATAGCCAATATGGTGTAAACACGACCGCGCTGTGCTGTGGTGATGAGGCTTTGTCGGTGGCGCTGAAGCGGAAAGGCATCGACATCAAAGGGTACTGGCCTTTGTTTAACGGAGACCCACCAGTGACGATTAATTTTGGGCCCGAGATGTGGTGTGAGCCGGTAATTTCTTTGCACCACATTACAGGGACAGACATGGAAGATCTATGGCGATGGGTCGAGAACTGGAAATCCAGAACGATGAGCATGGTATGATATCAATTTATATGCGAACCCTTCTCATCCTTCTGATCCTCTGCGTTCAACATCAATATCGTGCTAAGTATACTTATCATATAGCAACCCTTCCTATTTAGAGATTTGTTTGAGTACGTTGCTCTGCAACTAGTTCACAGAATGAATGATTGGGACAATACAGACGACGGATGGAAAATATTTCACCATGTTAAGGGCACCAAGAAAAGCGTCTTGGCATCCTTTGAGCAGTGTTCAGCAGCCTGTGAAGCGGACAACCTGTGCTTTCAGTTTGTCGTCAACGGAACCACATGTGCTCTATCACACAACATCCGAGTTGGTAGAAAGCGCGTGCCGGATACAGAAGGAGAGTACCGATATATCTCAGGATGGAATTTGCAGAGAATTCAGGACTGGACAACGAAGACAAAGTGCACAAGCGCGCATTGGGTGCATTCAAATCCGTGAGTGGGCGTATTAATATCGAGCTGGTTACTATTCGCTTTGTAGGAATGTAGCGTTGAAGAGCGATGTATATGTAGACGTTGTTCTTGGGCGCTGAGAATGTCGACGGACAGCGTTTGTCAAGTAGTAAGAGCCTAAACTCATTGGATTTCTGGCGGTCTGAGGATGAATACTTAAACGAGTGGAATGTTTGTATAAAACAGAGGGAGGAGATTGCTGAAAATAGGGTGCAAATTACTAAAATTCAGTTACTTATAGATTTTTTGAATCAATTTAATAAGTTAAGAATTAATTTTTGTTTTATGAACATACTTTTTTTAGAAATGAGGTGATAGATTCGTAGAAGTTACTAAGCCGGGTGGGGCCCGGACCACTGGAGGTGATAATAAGATGAATCTATAGATTAGTAATTAAGGAACCCTTAATATAATTCATTACTAATCATATTACTAAATAAATCGTATTAGTATCACCATAGGGATAGTAAAGTCAATATAGTACTATAATTTATATCATTATTAATATTACTTGAGATTTCAAAACATAAAGCTATAAAATGTATAACGTGGTTTAATACTAAGTATACTGTATTAAGTTTACTATGTATTTTACATACAAAATACATTTATATATAACTATATACTTCCTTTATTTATTAATATAAATTGATTTTTTAAGGAAATTATTATATTTATTTATATAAATAATATAATAATCGAATTATTTTTTGAAAATTTGAATTAAAATAAAAGTTAATATAACATATAAGGAACTCGAATATATAGGGAACTTATTGTGACGGCAACGGAGTCAAGTCATAGTGATAGGATGAATCAATTATCGTAACTAGAGAATAACAAACTACTGTACAAAGAATGAACCTGTAAGAGGCTTTTATAGGCCTGGAGGGGACCAGGAGGGGACCAAGAGGGGACCAAGACGAAGCGAGATTTGCCCTGCCAGGTGGGGCAAATGGATGACTAATCTAGGCCTGAGGCCGGATCGTCACACTTATAATAACTTTTACTATATATATTTAATTACTTTCTACATTTATTCAAATTAAAGAGAAATTTTAAAAAGCTATAATTTCACTTCAATTGAAAGAATTTAAATTAATTAGAAAACTATAGAGTATTTTGAAATTCTTAAATCAACTTTAGCTAATAGACTAATTAAAAGAAAATATATTCCCAAATCTATAAAATAACTTAAATTCTTTCAAACATAGAAGAAAATACTCTTATATAATAGATTTCATAATTTATTATTATTAGATTCCCTATTATATTTATATTAGTAAAGGAAATAATTCATAAAATTCGTTTTTGATATATTTGAATTATATTATTTCAAAATTTTATTTTAATAGAAATTCTATTTATAAGTTACAAATAGATCTATAAATTCCAAAAACAATATTTAGAATTTAAAATATACTATTTATATCAATTAAAGTCTAATCAAATTAAAGAAACAATTCTAAGAAATATTTAGACTTAATTTAATATATTTCGTATATATCTTATTAAGTAAAAATATAAATTAAATAATATATATAATATAAATAAAATCAAATTTAAAATTAGAAATATTCAAAATATTTATATAATAATTAATTCTATTTAGAAATCGAATTAGAAAATTATAATTAATAAATAAAAATAGATAACGTAACTTATGGTGAACCAGGTCATATGGGGAACCGGGTCAGGTACCTTTACACCAAAATTTGTACGTAAAGGTACTTAGAGCGATTTTTTATAACTCTATAAATACTAGAGATATAGTTTCGATATTTTGAAGTATGATATATTCAATATAAATATTTAATATAACAAAATTTTGTAGAGATATAATCTTTTTTAATAAAGATATTAAAGTTTCTTTCAAATTTTCGGTTTTGTCTAACAAAAATTACTATGGGAATTTTTGAAATCGTATTAATTCAAGAACAATATTACTAAAAAGTGTTCTGTAACTTGAATACTACATTTTTATTAGATATTAAGCCTAATTATCAAAAAAATTAAAATTATCTTTAATATCCATAGAGATATAAAAAGTCGCTCTAAGTACCTTTACATACAAATTTTGGTGTAAAGGTACCTGACCCGGTTCCCCATATGACCCGGTTCACCATAAGTTACGTTAATTGTATTTGAATATATTAATATAATTAGAAATACTTTATTATCTATAATCATTTTCAAGGTTTAGAATATAAATTCTATATAAATTCCAAAGAATATATTTCAAAACTAATAGTTTTTTATTAATATAAATAAACAGATTTCAAATAGCTATAAATTAAAATAATTAAAAAGAGTTTTTGAATTAGAATCCAAAAAAGTATTAAATAATCAATCTCGATTTTTGATTATAAATAATTATTCAAATTATATTATAAATAGCTTTATTATTTTTTATATAAAGAATAATATTAATTTGTTTATATTACCTTTTTATTACTTTTATTTACTTTAGTTATTTAATATTATAATATATAAACAAATAAAACAATATTATACTTTAAAGATTAATTAATATTTTCGAGTTAATATAAAACAAATTCAAAAAACTAAATAAATAGAATTCTTTCAAATATTAGAAAAAAAGCATTGAATTCTTTTAATATTAAAACTAATTAAAAAGAAATTAATTTAATACCTTTTGCTTCATGTAAAGTATTTAATTTATTACTATTTAATTTCTCCTAATAATCTTCTATTCTATAGATAAGAACCCTTAATTAAGATCTAGATTTATCTATATTTAGGAATTCTTTTCTAAATGGAATAAAATTAAAATAAATAAATTAAATCTTTAATATAACGTGATTCATATACGAGTGGATTACATCACCGAGTAGATCACTCAATTTACATACAAAATTCGTCTGTGCGTAACCGTGCACTTTCTTTATTTATAAATTGAATCTTTTAAAATTTTAATATATAAAATTTAATTATAATTGTATTATAAAAATCTAATCTCTTTTTAAAAATTCGAATTAATATAAGAGTTTTTATAGAAATTGTTTTTTTGTAACGAAAATCGTGACATTTTCATTTTTTTCTTGAATATAATAGAAATATTTCTAAAAAAATAAGATTTCTGAGATATATAACGTTTATTATTATTTTATATATTTTTATCTTTCAAAAATAACGATTAGTTATTAAAATAAGAATATTAAAAATGGCCAATTTTGGTGCATTTTCAAGTGATCCACTCGGTGATATGATCCACTCGTATATGAATCACGTTAATTCTAATAAATAATAATTCTTTTATATTATTAATTTATTAATATACTAAAAGAATAATTAGATTTATAGAATCTCAAAATATTAAGATAACCTTATTTCGAAAATAGCTTTTTAATATTTAGAAAATAATTAAAACTTAAAAGAAAAGAATTAAAAACAAAAGAATTAAATTATAAGATTAATTTGTTTTTAATATTAAAGAAGTATTGAAAATGATATATAAAGTAAAGAAAAAACTAAAGAAGAAAAAGCTATAAGAATAGTTATATAAATATTCAATTAAAGAATTAGAAGAAGAAATTAAAAAAGAAGAATTAAAGAATAATTTAAATAATTTGGAATTGGAATTAGAGGATTATATAGCTTGTAGAATAAGATTATATATAAAATAATTGAAAAAGTGTTCGAGTTCCCCATATTTTCGAATTCCCTATATGTTATATTATATTTTATATTATATATTAAAAAGAATTAGAACTAGAATCAGAATTAGAATTAGAATTAGAATTAGAGTTTGAATTTATATATTAGTATTAGTTATTTAGAAAAAAAGAATTTAATGTTTATAAACTTATAGGATTTCTAAATTATTATAATAATCAATAAAAAAGAAGAAATTCTACGAATTTGTAGTTTGAAAATTCTTTTCCCCCGATAGCTAGTATTAGAATAAAATAAAATATAAAGAGCTGAATATAGTTTAGATTGATTAGAGTATAAAATTAGTTTCAACTAAATTATAATATAGTTTTATATAACCCCTTACTCATTTACTGAGTACATTTTCGATATACTTACTACTACTAAACCCTAATATTAAATGATACTTTCCTTTATCAATTTCAAAGGACTATTATCATTTAATAGAGATTTAATATAAAAAATATAACTATTTATTTATAATATATTATTATATACTAATCATCAGGAAAAAGAATTTTCAGACTACGGACTTATAGAATTTCTTTTTTCTTATTAATGATTATAATAATTTTAAAATTCTATAAATTCATAGATTTCAGATTCTTTTCGCGCAACAGCTAATTCTAATTCTAATTCTGATTATAATCTATAAATAGAAATTGATAACCTGACTTACTAGAGCCTTTTAAGAACGAAGTCTTCATTGAACCTATTTTTCCGTTCATCTGGAGGCTAGTACAAAGCGATAGATAGTACATCAATCTTATCATAAGAGGGTGTGTGGGGAAAAAGTCCTACGTCGTTCCTAGTGTGACTTCGACGTGGCCCTCAATCAAGTCCCGTGCAGCAACCTTCCTACACTCCTCCAAAACCCTCAACTGCGTCGCAACTTCGCCCAGTCTCCCGATAACCTCTTTGTTCCCTCTCACAAATCCAAAAATCACATACGGAATCTCCACATCTTTACAAAACTCCCTGACATACTTCTGCGCCTTCCTCAAATTATGTCTCGGGAGCCTCGGGCACAAATGATGCACGACCTGGAACTGCAGTCCCCCATGCAAGAAATCCATCCAAGGAGGGCACTCCACATCCATGGTGGTCCTTAACATTTTCATTGGAAACGATTCACAGACTCCCAAGTCCGAAGTCGACATTGCGAAATGGCTGAGCGTTAGTTGGACGTGCAGGGAGCCGTAATCATATGCGAGATTAGGAGGAATGCTATACGGGACGACCATGTGGGAATACGCAAGTAGAGCGTGTGATAGCCGAACCAGTACCAAAAAAATATCTGGCCTGCTATTTCGAGGTGCCGGTGCCACCATGCTGGCCCTTTACGAGGTGCCTGGCTAGGGCTCAAGAGGTAGGACCATGCCAATACATACAGATTGAATCTTCCCATGAGGAGAATGGGATAGTAGAGATAATTTTGATATTTAATGAAAAATCGAGACGTAGCATCGAATTTCATATGGCGATCATAGTAAGTGGAATAAAGAGAAGAGAAGAATCGATGAGAAATGGCGAAAAAGGCATGTGTTCAATATCAGGGTCGTGTTCAGGGGAATTGGTCACAATGTGATGGACGTTGTGATTTCGCTTCCACCATCCGATGGATAGACCCCCAAGGAAATCGGCTATGAAAATCCCAATGCAGCTATCGGTATGAAACCCATGCGTTATCCCCATGTGTCCGGCATCGTGGGCTGTGAATACTAGCTGGTGCCAGAATAATCCGAGGAAAAGCCCGGAGAAAGCATAGTATGAAGACTGCAAGAGTGTCCAGAAGAGAGTGAAGAGGAGGATGTAGCGAAGTATGTCGATACCGTAGGAACTGTATGGGCAATTATAAAGACCTTCGGAACGAAGTTTTGATCGAGCTGGCGATATTGGAAGATAATCTCATCTTGGGATTTGGGGTCAAGAGAGGGTATTTGGAGAGATCGGTGGATATGGAGTGCGCTGTTAGGGCTTCTAGGGATGTGAGGTGTGGGTTTTCTTTTTCCTTTTCTAGTTCCATTTTCATCAAGGATAGAGAAGATGAAAAAGATGAAGATGGAGCACGAGAACTCTGCATCTCGGCACCTATACATCTCAACCGCAAACTATCTCCCTTCCCTCCTCCTCCCCCATCACAACCCAGCAATCCCGGTATTCCATCCCCCGGAAACCTCGATTCTTCTCCCCTATCTAACACTTCATCCCTCTCTCCCGCTTCTTGCACTACCCCCGCTCTATACATTCCTCCCTGTATCGGCGGCACCAAATTCTCCCACCTCCCCTCAATCCTCCCAATTACATATTTCCGCATGCGCTCCCTCGCCCCTTCTGAATGCAACGCGTTTATCTCATCTGTGGCATCGCGACCAATCATATGCATGATTGATTTTTCGCCGCCGGGGTGGAAGGGCAGCCATGCGTCGGCTTTTATGACGGATCCATCTAAAATGAATATTTTATGACCGTGGGATATTAGGTGGGCGATTTCGGGGCGGGAGATGATACGGATTTGGGAGGTCATTGTTGATAGTTTTTAGACCGCTTGGCTGGAGATGGATCCCGGATGAGGAATTGAGGTTGATGATGGCTGCTCGGTTGTAGTTGCGAGATTGGTTTTGCTGAGTTACTCGTACTCGTATAGCCTATACACTGTATATAGTTTATCTACTTGGTTCCTTTCAATTTCCCAAGACTCAATATCAGTGTTAAAATGAAATGATGGATGGGATTTCCTACCTAAGTGTGAGAAGTAGCGTAAGCTGTATATCGATTTATCTATTTATCTTTGGTCCTTACCGATGTCGGGGAGCGGTGTACTGTATTGTATTGTGATAGGTTCATTTGTATCGTATCATGCAAAGGTTCAATGAGAAAGGCTAAATGATAAATGATAAGTCGACAACATACAAACAATACCAACAGTTGGGGTATGGAAGCGGGGTTCGGGGGTTGTGATTCGCTACCCCGTATTTTCATGCATATGTAACATACTCGTAAGATTGGGGGTTTGGTGGAGATGTTTATTTATATTATTTTTGGTGGTTGGTTTGTGGATGAAAGGAGGAAGGAAAGGAAAGAAGGCGGAAAGAATGAAAGAAAGATGGGTGTTTGCTGAAGGAACAGATGTATGTAACGAATGTGATGAATGGATATTATGGAGGAATATACTGATACTGATACTGCTGAGATTGCAATACAAAAATAAGAGAAGTTGCTTACCTATCTAAACTAAACGATATCTGATGCCGTCAAACTCTATTAATATCTCTCTCTTCCTCATCCCCAACCACATCCAAATCCACATCTTCATCACCACTACCCTTCTTCTCTCCAACAAACCCCCACACCTTTCTCATCCCCCAAACCACGCTCCCCCCATTCCCATTCTTCTTCCTCCCCCCACTTCCATCTCCCTCTCCCTCCCCAACCCCCTCACTACCCCCTTAACCCAACCACAAATCGCGTTCACTAAACCTCCACCTCCTCCCCCGTCTGTCCCGCATGCACAATAATCCTCAATTTTGCCATCCCATCCTTAACCTTATACCTCACCGGAAACACCGCAAACCCATTCTCCTCTAGATAAAACGCCAATTCTTTCCCATGTACATCTCGCGTCCAGAGCGGAATCAACTGTGTCTGAAACGCGCGTTTTTCCCAGGAATCGCATAGGGGGACTGAGATTATTCCGAGTTCGTTGGCGAGGGGCCAGATGGGATGCGAGGTTATTTTTTGGAAGAAGTGTATTACGAGGTGTTGAATGTTGGATCGTCCCTAGGTTTTATGTGTTAGTTTCCGAAGAAGATTTTGTTTTGAGAAAGAAAGGGAAGCAATGAAGAAAGACCTACTGCTTCAGTCTCAGGTTGTGGAAGTAAAGAGTATCCAGCTCGAATCGCAGCAACTTGATGGAAAGCCGGTCCTGCAGTAATCACCGTCGAACGAGAAAAGTTCACCAATGCGTTCTTGATAGTGTGGCTACCGAGTATCACACCTTTTGTACATTATTAGTCTCGGAGATATCGCAACGCGAGTCGAAAGGAGAGAGATCACTTACCTCCTATTGAGCCGAACGCTTTACCGAATGTATGAGTTCTGATAGCGATTTCCGAATCCAGTTTCAAGGCATTTACATATCCTAATCCTCTCTCACCCACCACCCCCATACTATGCGCTTCGTCAACAATAAACTGTGCATTACCGTGTGGAAATATCTTTTTTGCTACCTGCACTAGTTCTTTCAGGGGAGACATATCCCCTTCAATACTATAGAAACTCTCCACGACAATAAGAACACACTTCTTTCCCTGTTTGATAAGGGATTGTGAATCCGACAAGAATGCTAAAGCTTGACGAAATGCATCGACGTCGTTGTGAGCGAAAGACACTTGCGTAGTAGCAAGCGACCGCGATATCCCATCCATAATACTTGGATGAACAAACTCATCATAAACAATAGCATCTCCGGGTTGTGGAATCGCTTCAAAAGTCGCGCAATTAGCATTACACCCCGAGCCTACAATAAGCGCCGCTTCGACGCCATGATAATCGGCAATTTCCTGCTCCACTGTTTCAATATAATCATAATTACCATCCGCTAAGCGAGAACCTCCAGCTCCCAGTTGTACATTCGGATTTCGAGCTAATTCTTCATCAAAAGCCTTGCGTAATCTTCCGCTGGCACCAAAGGAAAGAGAATCGTTGGAGAAGAAATCTATGGTTTCTCCATTGGCCCATGTGTTTTTAACTAGAGTGTGTAGATCTTGAATCTCTCTTCGAACATCGAGAGCTTGCTCCAGGTTGCGATAGAAGGCTGGTGCATCATACATAGTATGAGCGCGGGGCTTTTGACTGGCTACCCAGCGATTGAAGTTGGGGTTATCGGGAGACATTGGAAGATTGTGATGAATATCGATCGAATGATGATTTTTTGTTACCAAAAGAAAGATACATCAATTGTATATAAACAAATTGGAAAGTCTAAAACACATGTGATATTGTAATGGAAGGCATACTAAGCCAGGCATGTTTTTGTGATGACTGCGCCTGATGAATAGTACACATTTCTACTTGACTGCAATCCCGAGTGATAGATGTATTGATACGCACTCTGATATTCCTAAAAAGATGACGATAGTATCCGAGCAGACTGTAAATGGACAATCTGTCAGCCTTACCACCCCTTAAACCCGAGTTTCTACACCACTATAGCCCTGTAGATCACTTTATGACTCTACAAACTTCAGCCGCCAACAGACCAACATATTGCATATCTTTATCCAGTCAATAGATACAAAGTATGATACGAAGCGAGGCAGATCACATTATTATATCACCAACTGTCAGCCAACATTCAATACTGAACAAGGATGACATGTGCCCTTGGAGAGTTCGGTGAGGATATCGGTCCCGGAACAAGATATAAATTCGGTAAGTGCTTACTTTACTATTCGGCACAGCACGAATCTGCAAATCATATTTACTGAAGATGGTGTACCAACATATACCAACATTCAAGTAGAAAGCACTTGCTTTGAAGTATATTTTTACTGAACGCTCTGAAACGGCGTGATATGGCGTGGTTATTAAGTTTAGATCTCTTAGATTGGATCACAAAGTTGGACGATGTATCCGCACATTCAATTGAACGCACAATAACGCACTCGCATTCCTTTAAGGCGAACAAGAAGTAACTATCCCAGTTCCAATATACAATGTGACTCTTGCGAAGCCACTGATCCTGTTCATATGCTTGCGATCAATTAAAGCATTGCCCGAGAACATGGTGGTGCTTGGTAAGACGGATGAATTGTATCTGTGATACACACCTGAATTCCCCTTACTCTACCGTGCAACAATCGGTTATAGTCGCCTAATCATAGCCTCACGAAAGAGGCTGTGGCCATCTTTTTCTGCTTTGTGGGATTGGAGCCTTATTACCAGTATTTTCATGGCTATTTCTGCTTGCTTACTTGTCATCATTTGCGTCGCTGACGAGCCCAACTGGGATTCTTAAATTCCTCGCGAGCCTACACAGCCCAGCGTCTTTAGAATCGCCAAGCGCCGCTACATTTATGTCCAAAGCGTAAGTCATGCACAGGCTTACCGATGTTGACCGCGTCATCCAATCCGAGCCCAGGAGGATTCCGCACTTGCGACAACGAGGACCATCTCCATCCTGACTGCGACTGTACTATTGAGGATGATATAATCAATGTTTGTTGCGACAGTCCAATTGTGCTGATGGATGACTTTTATTCATGAATCTAAGGATGAGCGCAAAAATATAAATATGCGGTTCTTCAGGACGCTTAACATACTCACTGTATTCGTCAACTCGAGTGCACTTCCCTCGAGGACAACGGGCTTGCAATAGAGAAAGAGTGGATACTGAATTTAAAAATGCTTTGTTTGATATCAATCTTCTTGAGCAGGTTGAAATTCACTATGGGTCTGAGGATGAGAGTACTCGTCGAAGCATCGATCCTAAGATCAAGGACGTTCAGCTAGGTAGCAATGTTGCCACTTCAGAGCATAACATATTATCAGCACTACTTAATGCCAAAGAGATCATGTGCGTCAATGCCCAGACTCTCTAAGCTTAGTCAATGCCACGACTATGTTAAGAGTCTATTCCACCGTACCGCAGTCTCCATGGGCCGCTGGTTAAGTGAAGGAGGGCCAAGATCTCCGCCATGCGGTGGAATATGTCTTATCGCCATTCAGATCGCCCAGATAATTGGAGTCCAGAAGCATGCTACCGTTTGATCCGAACAAAAGATGCCGTGTTCCGCCAAAAAGCTTTAACATTCCTTAGAAAGGAAGTTTAATCTTTGTGACAATTGTCTTGTCGGGAAGTGTGTGCCGCGAGACCAATAGAAAGGTTGTCGAAGAGACCCACAACTTCCTCTCCGACTTCGAAAGCCTCAGCCCAACTTAGGAACACTTGGCTCTTGATCGATGGCGTTCAAGATATAAATCGCGCGATGTTCACCTACATGGTTGAATATGGAGCTCGCAGCCTCATCTGGCCCGGTTGCTGTTCCGATCGTAGAGATCCCGATTGAATCTTTATCGATAAGCTCAGCAAAGTGGAAGACATCGATGTTACCTGTTCCATGATAATATCAACAACACCAATGATCTGGACGTCGTCCCTTGTGCAATATCCAAAACCCCAGGTGTATTTTTTTTTTTTATCGCTATCGTTGAATTGTCATTCAACATATGGTTGGTGTTGAATCAATTGATCAAACAGGTATCAAATGAGAGTGATTGAAGTATCGTAGCCAATAGGAACACACTTATAGATCAGCATTGCATGACCGATGATTTCCAAGCAGCCGCGCCGTAATCGATTGCGCGCCTCCGTGAATACATCGTACATTCATTCAATGAATGTCCGTTTCTAAAGTTGAGTAAGTGAAAATACCAAATACTTAGATACTTATTAGGTATTATTGTTACTATTTGCGGCTATTTATTTATTATACTTTACTTTACCAAATTACTGTCAAATGCTAGCTCCCGGTGATGCGGACGCGTTTTCCCGTACGCAGCTTGGAGTGATTTGCTAAGACCGGGTGGAAGCGAACGACGTGCAAAGCTTGGATAAATGGCAAAGTGCTTGGCTTCTTCTGCCAACATTACGATCGATCAGATACTGTAGCCTGTTGGACGTGTGGGTTTTATTAATGTGAATGGGAATGTGTATCTCTGGGAAAGATTTGCATCCCCTCGTGTATATTTATGTCAAGATTGGGTGGCTGATGAACTCACTTGGAGTTAGGCATTTATGAATGAGATTACTTTTTAGGTAATGGATGAGAGAGACTCAGGTATGATGCAAAAGGGAAGGAGATTATTTAAAGAAGATCCATATGCGGTAAAGGCAGAGGGAATTTGATTTACTTTCCGATTTCCGATTGTCCGTGATACTTGTCCTACTGTGGTAGATACTAGTTGTAGCGAACCGACCTATTACTAAGGGGAAGCGGATAAGGAGAATACGGGGGAATACGAATTCAAGAAGCTAGACATGAAAGAGGTAAGATTCGATTCGCAATTATTTGCATTTTGGTGGAGAGGAACTGGTAGATAGCTGATGCCGTCTTCAAACGAGATGAGGAGATGAGGATGCATGAGGATTGGTTTTTGTTGGACAATCTGTTTCAGACGGGTACACCAGTACAATAAAAAGTAATATGGTGTTGGGGATTTCCATAGCTATTGTTAGAACCAGTCTTATCCCATGGCTTGGGTTACAATTTTGGGATTGGGTCAATGTTGTTGAGACCATTTAAATATTCATCATGATTCAGTCCAACGGTTTGATAATGAAGGGAATGGAATGGAATGGGGTAGATAGACAGACAGACAGGTAGGTAGATAGATAGATAGATAGATAGATAGAATGATCTGATCAACCCGTAGACGCTGACGGCACTCTCTGGCAGTGCAATGACATAAATGATCAAAAGTATATGTCAATTATTCCTTGCTAGTCCAAAGGATAACAAGCAAACGAATGGTTAACGGGTTATTTGAACTGTCTATGCTGTACATGTATATGTATAGGTATCTACTTACATGTACATGTACATGTACATATAGGGTTACATATACGAATCATTACCTATAGGTATCACGATTCAATGTTGAATCCAACTAGATAATGTAACTAAAATAACGTGTGCTCACTAGCCATTCCAACTTTACCCCTGGCTTGGATTCAGTTCATCAAAATTCCCATCTAAATTCCATTCCTCCCTCCCTGTACGGAGATTTATCCTTTTATGAGGCTTTTAAACCCCTTCACAACAACCCCGCTGTCTTTCCATCTCATAGATTAATTGCTTTACACTTTCTACTCTTCGAGCTTGTATACCGACCAATGTTGGGAATTCGTCTAAAAAAAGGAACTCGTTAGTCTTTTACCATCTATGGTGTAAGGTACCATCAAAAGAGATCTGTCCAAGAGAACTGTCGCAAAAGAAAGAAGAAGAAGAAGAAGAAGCAGAAGAACCCGAAATTATATGATCAAACAGGGGAAGGTTCAAGCAACGAATTAAAAAAAAGCGCCAAATAATCCTTGAGTTAATCCTTTTGAAAATAAGTATCAACATCCATCAATCCAAAATCTCAAGAAGTTCCACAGAACCATAAAACCACAGCAGTCCACTACGGAGATATGCCAAGATATGTTTTAGCTGAAATACCCAGTAAACAACCAGACAGCCTGTTCATATGAGAGATTATCGATCGAAGCTTTGAATTCCCTCCTTCAATTCTCCTACCCGTGGAAGAATTGGAAGGTGTGATGAGAGTTCTGGGAACTTGTGTTCTTTTGTTATAAGTGCTAACCTTACCTACTCATCTATCTACCTACCTACCTACCTACCCACTCTCTTACTTACCTTGAGTTTAATACTGTTTGTTTTAAGCTTCTGATCTGATCGATATTTCCCATCCGGAAGTGTCTTGGTATACCTACATACAGTGTACCCACCTACCTCCTGCCTCCCACAACATCAGAATCTCCAATTCGCATACCAACCCAAGAAGAAATCTGAAACTTTCGATTTGAAGTACCAATTACACTTTTAATAACTCTTCTCTTTTTTTTCGAGCAATACAGAGAAGTACGAAGAGCACGGAAACTTAATTCCAAGGAGACAAACAGAATCGATCGACATACATTACATTTGACGTTACTGTTACCTACATACCTGCTATTCTGTGTCCCTTTTCGGTTGGGTGAATTACAATCTTGGCCCCTCGTTTTACCACCACCCCAAAACCTTGGAACTTCTTTCACCATGGTCCGCATCTCTTTACCAAATCGCCTCAAAACTTACAGCAAAACCGGTTCTCGAAGCACAAGCCCAATTCCGAATACCAACAATAACAATATGAAGAATAAAACTAGTGGAAGGGATTCGAGTCCCGATAGTAACGGTATCAAAGTCAATGGTTTGGTATTGAAAGTTGTTGTTCTCAAGGTATGGATGATTTGAATCCACTTTTGTCTCTCACTTCATGCAAGCTGGGAATGGTGTCTCTGGATGTTGATTCTAATGAAGCGTACTATTGGGATACTTATATTGACGATTATTTACAAATAGGCTAGAAATTTGGCAGCAAAGGACAAGAGCGGGACTTCTGATCCTGTAAGTACATGTCGCCTTATCGTGGCGATGAGCTCAGGAACACACAAGCTGATATGCGGATTCTAGTATCTAGTACTTACACTTGGAGACGAAAAAAGCACAACTCATACAATACAGAAAACATTGAATCCAGAATGGAACGTTACTTTACAATTGCCAGTTACCGGCACAAATTCTCTACTTCTCGATTGCGTTTGTTGGGATAAGGATAGATTCGGAAAGGATTACCTGGGCGAATTCGACCTTGCGTTAGAAGATATATTCTCCAACGATTCGCACGAACAAGAGCCGGCATGGTACCCTCTGCAGAGCAAAAGACCTGGCGGAAAGAAGGATAGCAATGTTTCCGGCGATGTCCAACTTCAATTCACTTTGTACGATGTTACCAATCCTTCTGCCAGTTCTGCTCAGATTCTAGAGAAATTCAGAACTCTGGTGGGAGCTGAGAGTCCTGGTTTAGTTACGCCGTTACGAGAACTAGATTCAATTACACCTGGTACGGAAATGACGGAAGATGATTATTTCGATGAGGGCACGGAGCCAAGTGACGAAACCGATGATCCATCTAAACCCGAGAATCCTGAGAAACGAAAAAAGAGATTGCGACTCAAGGGACTAAGGAAGAAGAAGCAATTGAATGCATATGAATTTTCTGGTGACAGCGAGGTTGTTGGAATTGTTTTCCTGGAAATTGGCAAGGTTACAGATCTTCCGCCGGAGCGAAATATGACGAGAACATCATTCGATATGGATCCTTTCGTGGTTGCATCTTTGGGAAAGAAAACGTACAGAACTAGAGTTGTTCGGCATAATTTAAATCCAATCTTCAACGAGAAGATGATTTTCCAGGTTCTGAGGCATGAGCAGACCTATTCTCTTGCGTTCACAGTTGTGGATAGAGATAAATTGTCTGGAAACGATTTTATCGCTTCGACTGTATTACCAGTCAAGGATATCACCGACACTGCTCCAGAAGCTGATCCAGAAACTGGTCTTTACGCTATGAGAGATCCCCCTAATCTCAGTACCTTGGTCGTACAGCAGCCTCAAGCAAAAGGCTCTCGATTTAAATTGCCAATGTCAAGATCTACATCCTCACAAAGCTTAAACAAACTGGGACGTCCAATTTTGAAGAAGGAGTTGTCAAGCTCAAACACGAATAACGGAGGAACCTCCAGTAAAACTACGCCGACTCTTGCTCCTACCAGTGTTCCAGCAACCACTCCAGCAGGTCTTTCTCCGAACGATTCTCTATTACCGCCCCCAGTCGTTGAGCCAGAAGAATCAAGCGAGCAATCTGGTGATCCCGATTTACATTCATTCGAAGTTCCGTTGAAACTCAAAAATGCAGAAAAGTGGGAAGAGAAACATAGTCCAGTTTTATTCATCAAAGCTAAATACGCCCCTTACCCGGCTTTACGACAGCAATTCTGGAGGGCAATGCTCAGACAATATGATAGTGATGAGAGCGGATGTATCAGTAAGGTAGAACTTACGACCATGCTTGATACACTTGGCTCGACTTTGAAAGAGTCCACTATTGATGGATTCTTTAGACGCTTCCATTCACAAAATGAAGATGGACAATCTTCAGAGTTGACTGTTGACCAAGCTGTTATTTGTTTAGAGGACCAATTGCAGAAAAAGACCAAGGAAACTAATATTGGGGATAAGATGAGAAATTTGTTGCCCGATACTTCAGCAATGAAACACGCTCTACCAAGTCAGCTTGGTGGAACCCGAGGAGATCAATCTACAGATGCAGCTATTACCGAGACATCGGCACCATTAGAGACTACATCAAATAGATTCCAGACGGAGGGATCTGATGATCCATACCCATCAACACAATCTGTCGACCAGTTAGGTACTCCTGGAGAAGAAGGTGAACTTTTGGACTCGGATGATCTCAATAATGAGACTGAAGAACACGTGGTTGAAATTCGAGAATGCCCAATCTGTCATCAACCTCGTCTTAACAAACGATCTGATGCTGATATCATCACTCATATTGCTACCTGTGCTAGTCAAGATTGGCGTCAGGTCGATAATTTAGTTATGGCTGGTTTCGTCACATCTAGTCAAGCACAACGCAAATGGTACTCCAAGGTCATCACTAAGATTTCCTACGGTGGTTACAAACTTGGTGCAAACTCTGCCAATATTCTTGTGCAAGATCGTATCACTGGACAAATTAATGAAGAGAGAATGAGTGTTTATGTTCGTTTGGGTATTAGGCTGCTATATAAAGGATTAAAATCTAAGGAGATGGAAAAGAAGAGAAGTATGTTTGGAATTTATTATATATTTAGTGAGAAACCTAGTAGAACAATTGCTAACATGATCCTAGTTCGCAAGCTTCTTAAAGGCTTGAGTTTCAAACAGGGTGTCAAATATGACGATCCTGCTTCGGCAGCAGAAATTCAGAAGTTCATCAATTTCCATCAATTGGATATGAGTGAAGTTCTACTCCCATTG